ATATTTATATATATGTATACACATTTACACGTACATCATATATAAATATACATATATATACATAACTATTATTAATGCATATTATAAACACGTGTCTGTAGTTTACTTAATGTACTTTTGAAAGCAAGCGAAATCCCCCTAACTGAAAATTGAATAAATATACATATAAACAATAAAAAGTATGAAAAAAAAAAAAAACAAAACAAAACCAGGGAAAATAAATTCCAAAATACAACAAATTTAAAATGTAAATTTCTCAACGTGAATTAAAAATAAAAAATAATACAAAAAAATTAAATAAACAAAACATAAAAAAACAATTATGCATTTTAAAAGTTATTGAAGAAGTTTAGAACCTCGATTTTGGTTTGAATTTTTATAAACTTTTCCATTTAGAAATTTTTTTTAGATTAAGTTAAGAAATCTCAAAGACACAATTAATGGATCAATAACCATCTATTTATTTATATTTCATACATTTACATAAAATATATATATGTTTTCATATTTTAGCTTAAGTTTTATTGTTTGTTCAGTTTTGGAAAGAGAAGGTCAATTTGCAACGACCCTCTACGTGTTGTTCGGCCAGCCTTGTAGATGATATATGAGTTATTTGTTCATGCTCGGATTAATTATCCTTTGGCGCATCTGTCTAAATACGTATGCTACTTAGTGAATGTATAAAATCAGAGTCCAAATCTTGAGTTTGTTTTTAGCTTATGGTTAAGCAGTTAAAATTCACACGCATACTTAAAGAGTAGCTTGGAATAGACTTAAGGAACTAGGCGGAATATATTCATACATATATAAGTAATTGTTGCAGTATAAAGATATATGTATATATATCCATATGTATCTGTACATATGTTTGGAATACTATGAGTAAATAGTTGAAAAGAAAGAATGTTTCATAAAACAGATATTCATTCAACGGAAATCATTTGTTCAGTATGTGTATAAAAATATTTATAAAAATATATAAAATTGGTGGTTATAAGCTTCAAAATATCAGGTTGTTGGGTGAAACATAAAGTAAAAAGACATTATACCGTTCTAAATTATTCATTGGGAATTTTTCATTTATGGTTAAGTACTTCTGTATAGTAAAACACTTTTAGCGAGATCGAAAATAACAAAGCTTAGCCCAAAAAATTCGTTTAAACACATCGTGATGGATTCTGTTGGAAATACGATGACAAAGAATTCTAAATATATGTATATTAGTATAGTTGTTGCCAAATAATAGATAAAAGAAAACATTTGCTAAGTTTACTAAGCTGGCGGCTCCTCGCCATACGTCGGCTTGGCCAGGAATGCTATCGAAAAGTCAACCATGTTGGGATAGACCAAAAACTTATTTACTGCCTCGCACAGCTTGCTCTCAATCACATTCGTTACAATGGACCAATCGACCGACTTATCGCCCACTTGAGGCTTCGTCGATATCCACAGACGTGGCGGCCCGCGAAAGCACATCCAGATGCGATCCGATGGCGGCGGCGGTATATTCAATGTGCCCCTAGCCACCAGTCCTTTCAGATCCACTCGCAGCGTTATGTTCGCACTCATATTCTCCATGGCTCGCTGGACGTAGGGCAGCTCTGAGGCATATTGGAATAGATTCGATGTGGCTATACGGTCCACAATCTTAAAGATGCGACGCGCATTGCCCGGCGAGTTTTGAAAGAACCTGCAAGTATGCAAAGGGAAAACAGTTTCAAATTTATACAACATTTATGGCTTTTTAACACCTACTCAGCATTGTTTGCATTCTCAGCCGTTGGACCCGACGCCAGACTCTCCGTTTCCGTTGAGGAGCCGCCCGTGCTCTCGGCATCGCTGTCGAAAATCGACTGACTGCCATCGGCTTGAATATCGTCGGCTCCACCGCGAAAGTCCGCTGATGAATCCTGTGACGCTACGTCCGGATTGACTGGCGACGCTTTGGGTTTGCTGCGCACGCGCAACAAATTCAACTTGGTAGTCACTGTAATGTTGGCGAAGCCCTCGTAGGTCATATCGGCATCCAGCCAGACACCGCGCTCATCCAGCATTGGCTGCGATATGCGATGGAACAGCATGGGCGACTCACCCAAATATATATTGGTTATAATCACCTCTTCCATAAAACTGGGCAGCTGAAAAACGCAGTAGAGATGAGCAAGTTCGGGGCATCAGAGCTGTCGTAACTCACCTTTATGGAATTTAGTTTCTTTTGCATAAAGTCCTGAATCTTTAAGCGCAGCTCATTATTGTTCAGGCAGCTAAAAAGGCAGCGACCCATCAGCACATTTGCCCACACCACGCTGCCAGAGGGGCCCAGGAATAGAGACTGGTCTATGCCCTTCCACAACTCGTTCTCCTGCCGCCTAGATCTTCGGCTCTGCAAAGATAGCAAAAAGTTAGGAATCGACAAATAAGTATGGTATTGGTTACCAATAATCGATTTAAAATTATATTGAAAATGAATCAAATAAAAATCGAGACCTACTCTTTTACGGTGATCTCCGTGTCTGTGATGGTGCGGACGTATAACAGGAATTGTGCTCTGACTGCAAGCTTTCTAAGATAAAAATAATAAAGAAGAAACTCATATGGAAATCAAAATCGAAATCAAACCGAAAAGGAAATTAAATAACAAACAAAAGGTCGGCTAGCCTTGGTCAATATGATTCTCTACCTGGTAGGTCGCCATGAATTTAACATAATCCGCCGGATTTCTGGCTGCATCGGCGCTCATGATGAGGCCCTCATAGCCTTCGTTTCCGCGGTCGGGCGTGGCATCCACGTCCAATGTCTCTTCTACTGCATCGGGCGTATTGGTGCCCGTCTCATCGGAGATCATTGAAACATCATCGCTCTAAAGCCAGATTTAATGAGATTAGGAATTGGATAGCCTTTGGAATCAACGCAAGCGCTTACCTTTGGTGCTCTGGTCAGATTGATGGCCTGTTGGGCGGCGACTGCCTGCAGATCGCTGTCCTCCACAAACTGTGCCATGGGCACCTGCAGATCCGACTCATGAACACGGCCAGAACTAGCAGCCCGGAAGCGGCGGTACCAGTCCTCCTTCTCTCGATCGCAGCGCGCAAAAACAAGCAGACGAACCTCATCCCCACAAGGCATCGTTATGTCCTTTAAATCGTTATCGGGCGTTCGTGCACTATGCAGCTGACGAAGCTGTAAAATAAACAGATTCAGTTGAGTAACATCAACAGAGCTGCAGACTTCAGACTCACATCAGCCATCATAACTGTATTGGCAAACTCGAGAGGTTTGATCGTTTCATTGGGTGTCGTGGCCATTGTGCTGGGCCAGGTATCCGACGTATCGTCGTCCGTTCTGGGCGATTGCATGCCACTGCAGCCACTCTTCACAATCAGTTGTATGGGATACTTTCGATTGAAGAAGCTACAAAGGCAAGGCATTTGGATGAGTAAGTGGAAAGGTCTTCCTTAAGGTGAGCACTTACCGCTTTCTGGCCAGGCCCACGGGCAACAGCTCGATGCGTGCATCGCGCATGTCGTAAGAACGATGATCGACAAACACAATCTTGTTGCGATCAATGGGCTTCTCGTTCCACATGCGGCGCTTGGGTATGCGAGCATTGGTGCCGGAGAGCTTTAGGATAGTGCCATCCAAACGAACGTAGACTGATCTTGTCATGGAGAAGGAGAACGTATTGGGATCGTAGCTATCGCACTCATTCAGCCAGCCCGAATACGTCTTGACGGTCTTGTGCTCCTCGGCGGCGGGTATCTCACAGATGGGCATGCCCTCGTAGTTGGGTATCTGGAATGGACGACGCTCCGGATGTGCGCCGAGCACCAGAGTGTCAAACAGATAGGATACATAGCTGCTCAAGTAGTTGATCGTCACAATGAACAACATTGTGACTAGGACGCCACGCCAAAAGTCCTGCATTGGCAAAAGCATCACCGCGATGCCGCTAACCCCCAACAGCAGCAGAGGCCGAGCTGTAGCAGCGCCACTCCAGTTGTCAGCGGTAAAGTTCCTCACTTTGGTCCATAGCGATTGCTCTGTGCCGTCGCATGGGGCTTGGCTACGCGAGGAAGCACCACTGAACAGGGGTCTGTTGTCGATATCCAGGGGCAGTTGTAGTGCACTTCGACGCGCTATGACGGGGTCCTCGTTGAAATGGACAGTTCCAGTTCCAGCCGGGGTCTCCATGTTGGATTCAGCGCTCGTTGTGGGCGCCATGTCCTCCAGCATCTCCACACCCGACTCAATTTCCGCATCCTTGCTGGCGAGCAATATGCCACGCTTCACCTTCCCACTGGTCACAGGTATTTCGGATGCACTGCTGGCATCCTGGTTCGATCTGCCTGGCTCCGTCTGATCTTCAGGTGGATTGCGACGTCGCAAAAAGCTGCTTCGCACAGATTCGGAGCTGGTGGTCGCGCCCTTCTCTTGCTCCTTCTTATTCATAGCGGCTTGTTGCTTGGCCTTCACTCGCGACTTGATGTGCGCAATGCCACGACGCAGACGCGATCGTTCCGTGGAAATGGCCACAGGCGCGGGTCCGACGTCTGTGCTGCCCAGGGAACTGCTGTCCACTAGCTCGATCTCCGCGTCCGAGTCGGAGTTGTGCTGCTTCTCTGAGAGGGGGAGAGCGAGCGGCTCCTCGGCAACGTTTGTCGTATTGATCGTCACGCACTCCGTATCCGAGTCGGGGTCGTTGGTCCAACCAACTGTGGTCGCTGGCTCCGCTACAATAACTGGAATGACGGAATGCTGCTGTTGCGGCTGCTGATGCTGATGATGCTTGGACGATTTAATCTCTTCGATGGTTTGCGAGACCTTGCCCTTGATCAGCTTCCAGGTGCCAACTGGAGCGGCACCGCTGTCAATGGCACCGCCGCTGCCACCAGCAGCGGCTGTCACGCTGCTAGACAGCGACGATATCTGATTGGGACCAGTGGAGGTTGGCGAAACCCCTTCAATGCTGCCCGATCTGTAAGTGTATAAATGGAAAAATTTCGATAAAAACATGTCAGATATCTAAAAAAAATCATTTGCTTGCTAAGGTATTCCATGAGTGAATTACAATAAATAATACGCATAGAGCAGAAGCAATTGATCAGCTGAGGCTCTTAGTCTTCAAATTATGTATCAGCTATAACAAAAATAAGTATTTCAAACTATAAGATTTTTCTTGAGGTAAATTTTGAGATTTTAATTACTTTCAATTAGGCTGCTTTCATTTTGTTTAGATCTGATCAAGTCGATATATACTTATGGTATATAATATATGTACAAAATTTAAAAAAAGGTTTTAGAGCAGATATATCCCAGTTTAGCATGAACGTAAATACCGCTATCCCCTTTATCTAAAAATAATTGTTGAATACGCTTTGTTAATTATTCCAGAAAAGTTATTTTTATTTATTTGAATGAAGATATATGTTTTGTTTTCCATTTTTTCTATATAACCTGTCTGACTTTTTTTTACTTTTTGTTTTTATATGTATATATATTTTTTTTGTATTATTTTTATTATTATTTCATTTTTTGGCGCCCGTTTCTTTTTGGGATTGCCTTAGAAAAGTTATTGGAATATATTTTTGTGTATATAATCGTATTTCGTTACGGTTTTACATATTTCCATTAATTATTTATTTGGGTTTTCTGTTTTTATTTTATTTTATTTTCTATTTTTTTAATTTTTTTTTTTTTTTCATTTCTTTTTTGTTTTCATAATATTGCATTGTATTACTGCTGATATATTTTGTAGTTTCGATTTCGATTTCGATTTGGTTTTGGTTTTCTTTTAATTGGAGCTATGTATGTATATATGTATATATGTATGTATATATTAATGGATTCTCTAGTTATATAACCTATTTGAAGATTACTTTCTTTTTTTGTTTTGTGTTTTGTTTCATTGTAACATTTTAACTGTTGTAGCTGTTTTTCAATATCGATCGAAGAACGTTGTTTGGAGGCAAAATATGATTGGAAATCGAGAGATTCAGTATTTAGAAAACTACAAATGTTGCTTTTTTTGTGTACTTTTTATTTCTTTTCTTTTTTGTCAACTTGAATTTTGTAAAAATTAAAAAATTTTACGTTTATTGAAAATGACTATAAAATATGGAATATTTTGCTAAATTTTCATATATATACATAT